AGATTATATGCTCTTCCCAAAATTCATAAAAGTGGTATTCCTTTCCGCCCTATTGTATCAAATTTAGGTACTGCCTCGTATCCATTAGCTAAATATTTAGTTTCTAGATTTTCCACTCTATTAGACAATAACATTTACACCAAAAAAATTCAATACAGTTTGTAAAAAAGGTTAAAAACATTTCTCCTCGTAATTTACTCATGGTTTCTTTTGATGTAAAATCATTATTCACCAATGTCCCAGTGGAGGGTGCATTAAGATGTCTAGAAACCAGACTTCGCGAATTTCATTTCTCTTGCATCGAAATTGATGAGCTAATTTCTCTCACTCAACTCTGTTTGAAACAAACACATTTTGTTTTCCAAAATAAATATTACAAGCAAACTGAGGGATTAGCCATGGGAAGCCCCCTCAGTCCCATCCTGGCTGATATCTACATGCATTATTATGAATCAACATTGTTGAAAACTTTAAACTTCCCGGCATGGTTCCGCTACGTAGACGATACTTTTACCCTGTTTGAAGGTAATAAAGATGATTTAAATAGAGTTCTTTCAACAGTGAATTCTATGATCCTTGCTATTCAGTTCACTTTTGAACTTGAGACTTGCAATTCTCTTCCGTTTCTCGACATTCTGGTCACACGTAAACACATCCAATTCAGTACTACGTTTACCGTAAACCTTCATCGGTTTGCCTTCCACCACACTTTAAATCATTGTCATCCGACTAAACAAAAGTTAGCTTCATTTTATTCCTATGTTTTCCATGCTCTTCAAGTTTGCTCCTCCAAACTAGCCCTTGATGAAGAACTAAATTATTTAAAAGCAATAGCTATTGACAGGGGCTTTTCACCCAACATTATTAATCAAGCAGTTAAAAAATTCTCATCTCAACACACTAAAAAAGCACCACTCTTATTTAGGAGATTATAAAAATTCTGTTTGTCATTCCCTTCTTTCCATCAATTAGCTATAAAGTTGCACATATTTTGCAGAAATTTAACTTCCGGGTTGTTTACTCTCCCATCAATAAAATTCCAACTTCTATACTCAAGGACCCCCATTCCGGATATGAATTCCTGGGGTATTTATAGGATTCCTTGCCAGGTGCGGTTTAATTTACATTGGCCAAACTAAGAGAGCCTTAAAATTTTGCGTCAAAGAACATGAGGCATATGTTAGAAAAAAGGAAATACAGAAGTCTTCTGTTGCTCAACATTGTTGGTCCGAAAATCACACTTTCAATTTTTCTGCTGCCAAAATTATTCAAAAAAACATCTTCCATTGGAGAACTGGATTTTCTAGAGGCATTTCACATTCATAAAAATCTTTCTGTTCTAGTTAACGATCCTAATTCCAATCCAAATTTGCCTTCGGCTTTTAGAGAAATTATGTTTTAGTTTGGTTTCGCCCAACAGATGGCGCCACTTGCTTATTCTTGTACAGGCTTCTTATCTTATCTAAACATTATTTCCTATCTTGTTCATTTGCGGTTTTGCAGCTGAAGATGATGGTTCGGTAAAACCATCGAAACAGTCCTGTGAAAATTTGTAAATTAACGCTGATTTTTGTTGTTTGACTTCTGAATTAGTATTTATTCGGCGTGTTATTGTGTCTTAATAAATAGTGATATTATACAATTAGAAGAAGGTGTCCGGAATGCATTTAGGTGGAATTGGATTGAACGGAGAGATGGTAATGGGGATACCATCGGCACATGGTGCAAGAAAATAAATGTTGCTGGACAAGCATATTGTGTTTTTTGTAACTCACTGCTGAAGTATGGTGGGGAAGGATTCAAGGCTTTCACAAATCATTCTAAAACTGTGACACACATAAAATATTCAAAGTGCATTAGACATTCAATGACTTTAAGTAATTATGCTAATTCAAAAAATACTGATGACTTACTGGAGACTGATGCTCGGCCATTGGATATAGTGACAAGAAAAGCACGGCAAGAGGTAATAATAACTTCGTTTATCGCCGAGAATTCTCTTTCTTTCAATGTAGCTCCCAATTTAATTGAACTCTGCAAGCAGTTGAGCCGTGATCAGAACTTGTTGGAAATGTCCAGGACTACTGCATGTTATAAGATGAAATATGGGCTCGCAAAAACTATTAAGGAAAATATCATTAAAACTTTAAAGGAGACTCCATTTTCTCTAAATTTGGATGAAAGTACTAGCAATGCTCAAGAAAGTATACTGCAATATTGGTGCAGATTTATGACAACAATCAAAATGAAGCTGTAGTTCATCATTTTGCATCTCTAAAGATGGAATCTTGCAATTCAGAAGCTGTTTTTAAAGCAGTTGTTAATACTATTGAAGATAATAATATTCCATGGGCAACTTAATTAGTGTATTAATGGACTCATGTAACACCATGCGTGGAAAAAAAAAAAAAAAAAAAAAGGGGTTGTTGAAACCAGACTACGATCAAACAAAGCAACCCCACTTATTAGATATTGATGGTGACACATGTCACACAGCTAATAACTGTGCAAAAAAAATTTGCTTCATGTTTTGATAGATACTTAGAAGATTTGTTTGATGACATCTATTTTGATATGAAAAGCTGCAGTAAAGAGAAAAAAAAAAAAATTTTTTTCAAAAATCTGTGAATCCCTTGCCATTAAAAAACTTAAAACCTTGAAGAGACCAGACCATAGGTGGGTTGTACATTTTATGTGTTTTAGAAAGAATCAAAGATCTGTATGATGCTCTTATTGCATTTTATTTTCACTACTTGGATAAAACTGATAAAGGGGATTATTTTTCTTATGTTGGAAACTGTATACAATAAAAGAAATATTTCTGCAGCTCAGAAAAAAATTGTTGAAGGGGTGTGTATTCTTGCTTGCATTCCCAACAATCAGAAAGGATGCTTTAGCTCGGAAAAAAAAAAAAAAAGAATACTAAATGGGTTATTGTTGTTGGAAAACAAAACTTTATTGCATATGACATTATATTCAGCAGTATTACCAGAGCTCAACACATATATTAAATTATTTGAAACAAAAAAAACCAATGCTTCATTTAATACATTCCAGTATTTAAAAATTGATGGCAAAATTTTTCTCTTTTTTTATGAAGCCAGAAAATATAAGTATATAGAGTGCACATCTTATAATGATTTATTAAAGGTTGATGTCACAAATCCAGAATTCCATCTACCTAGCAAAGTAATATTTACTGGTGCAGAAGCTTCCACTCTCCTGAAGAAATTATCAAAAAATCATCCAATAGCAAAAGAATTCCAAATTTCTCTGATTTGAATGATGAAAGCTTTTACTAATACAGCACAGCATATGAAACAGAAATTACCCCTTAAAAATTCATATCTAATTAGTTTTTTTACAGCATTAGATCCAGAGCTAAGAGGTAAAACCAGTACAATATTAGCTTTTGAACAATTATCATCTTTTATGTCCCATATTTTTAGTGATAATGATGAAAGTCAAAAGTAGAAGCTGAAATAAGGTTATACCAGAGTGAGTGATATTGATTATCACCAAAGAAATGCTCTACACATCTGATGAAAGTGGAAATCAGGTCAAGTGTACAATTGATAAATATTGGTCTAAAGTTTTTAATTTAAAAGATGATTTCACAAATGATTATAAGTTACCTACATTGGCTAAATTGGTCAAAGTAATTCATTGAACTTTTATAATTAGGTCATTCAATACTTCATAATTGTAATTTTTCATTTCTCTCCCCCCCTTCTCGAAACTCCAAAATGTCGGTAGTAAGTCTGTAAAAGTTTCAGGGGATTTTTTGGGGTCCCACAAACACCCCTGAGTTAGCAAATGTCAATCTTGTACTCAGTTCTGTCCAGTGATTCTGCAAGTTGGATTGAAGCTTTGTTTAATATTTTCAACATTTGATATTTTAATTACTTCAGTATTTTTATAGAATACAATTTATATGTTTTCACTTTTCAAATGTACAGGAGTATTGTAACAATCTAATGTTAATTTAAACATATATTTATTTAGTATTCCATATAGCATTTTTCTATATCACCTGGACCATCTGTACTGGTAAACCACATTAAAATTTAAAAAAAGGCCTTTTAAGCGACCATCAATGTCTGCACCTTTTCAGATTTTTTTGCTCTCTGTTTCTTTAATTAACTTAATTTAAATCTGTTGTACTTACAACTGTATATGGCAAAACTGTGCCAAAGAAATAATATAATATCTTTTGTATGTCAGTCAATCTGTTTTAGGCAGTTTCTATAAGACGAGAGATGATCATGATACATTTCATACATGTGGATAAAAATATTTACTATAAACATAGTTTTCTTAGTTGTTAGTGTGATAATGGGAAAAAAAAAAAAAAAAAAAAAAAAAAAAAAAAAAATTGTTATAGTTTGGGAATTTAGCAAGAAAAAAAAATTAAAAAGGGAAAACACTCCTCGTAATGCTGTCATATTAAAGCTACCTTACATTAAAAAAATCACTTTTAAAAATCATCTTTTTAAGCATTTTAGTATTGCATGTTATATGGTTCTGCAAAAAAGGGTCAAACCCGATCACAATGCAGACATTGATTTCTGGCCCTAAAGTAAATATTGTAAACTCAGTCATATCCCTGTTTTCCAAATTCAGTCTCTTATATTTACTTTTTCTTTCTTGAAATTGAAACATTTTCTCAAATTAAAGCCCCTCTGTATATTGAAAAGATCTAGAAAACTAAATTCTTGTTTTTGATCCATACCACAAGCACATTTATTAAAGGTTGTTGAAAGTCTTTATTTTCATTATTTAACAAGTCAGTGTTTTCATTAAAATACAGAATGATCATATTTCAGTTTCAGCTTTATGACTTTTCCTTGGACCTTTTTCTTTTAACAGAATTATTGTTATAAATATTAAGAATGAAATTACTTTTCTTAATGTCATTTTTATAGATAGAATGGCTCTTATTATCTATGATATTTATTTAATGTTTGTAATTTAATTTTATAAGTATCTTTTTCTTGCAGTTTGATGAGGGATTACAACTCCTACAAAGTGTATTAAGCACTTCATCAGAAAAAGGCAGTAAATCTTGGAAAATAATTCAAATTGAAGCTTTGATACTCCAGAGTCAATATTTATCTCTACCTCGGTCAGCATTTACTGATTCCAAAAATTTTGAATTTATTCAAAGGAAAACTGCTATTGCAATAGCAATGGAAGCAGTAACTAGATCTATATCTTTGTTAAAGCTTATAGCTGCGAAACAGTTTCCTGAAACCTATCCTCATGGTATATCATTTTTTTTCTATTCTTCAACAAATATTTGTGCATGTAGATGTGTGTAAATTTTACACTTTCATATTTTGTATCTTTTTGGTCTGACACTTAATGTGGGATATTTTAATAGATGAAAAAGATATTATATATATATGTATGTAATATTTTAATTGCATAGAAGACACCTGTCCTTTTTACTTTCGATAGTTGTCATGGCTGAGGGTCGTGAAGGCATAAAGCTAACAAAAACTGGATTTTGACGAATCACCAATCTTTATTTTCACACATATCAAATTATTTTGGCAAACATTTACCCAATCATAGTTAAATACGACAATTTTTTATGTACACTAGTTTTAAAAGTACGACATAAGCATCTTGAACAGGAAAGCATAAGCAGCGGGGAGATGTTGTCAGGGCTAAGAAAAAGAATGAAGTAGTTGCTTGTGAAGTAATATTTATACTATTTAGGTGCATAAGTATAGCTAAGCTGTGATTGGTTAATTTTAGGTTTTAGTTACAGTTTTCAAGCAGCATTGTGTAATTTGGTAAGATCTCGAACTGCTAGAAAAGATAAATTTAGGGGGAGAACACCAAATTTTGAGTCAATTTCTTAGTCAATTGTGAGGTTGCCAATTATTTGGATGTGTCGTTATCGTATTTAATTATATCTTACACATACACGTGTATATATATATTATATATAATAATATATATATAATATATTACACACATACAGGGGTGGTTCAAAAATATATGTCAAAAGTGTAAAGGCAGGTAGAGTGGACTCTAAATAAGCAGATTTCGTATAGGAGTGTGTGTGCGGTAATGCTGTGTTGAGCTGGTAGAGAGTGTTGATGAGTGTGGTGTATAAAAGCGCTGTGCTAGCTTTATTCTTCATTTCCACATGGATCTCAAGTAGCCTGCATCGTTACACCAATGCAGAGCTTGCCGACATGCATTTCATGTTTGGGACTGCACAAGGAAATGGATTAGCTGCTCAAAGGATGTACAGGGAGCATAGAATATTCAAGTGTCTTCTTCGGAAGTTAAGCATGAGTGTATAGTTTTATGCGTCCAGGCGTGATACTCGCATTGGAAGATATTGCAGAATTTCTGCAGTGGAAGAAAGGATACTAAAGGCAGTAGTGGGTAGTCCATTGCCAAGCTCAAGAGCTGTAGGACATGCATTGGGTGTGAGTCATGCAACTATTTTGAGGACTTTATATGAAGATGGAATGCATCCATATCGTTTACAGAGAGTGCAAGCAATGACCCCCTGATGATTATCTTCCATGTCTCAACTTTGCTTATTGGTACCTAGAGCAGACTGCAGGCAATCAAACTTTCTCTGCGGATGTTTAATTTACTGATGAGACTATCTTTATGTGCTCGGGTACATTCAACATCCATAATTCTCACCTATGGGCTCATAACCCACATGGCACAATAGCACACGCCTACCAAGAAAGGTTTCCCATTAATGTTTGGGCAGCATTATGCACAACAATAACTTAGTCGGACTGTACATTCTACCTAGTTGTTTAACTGGCCATATGTACAGCATCTTCCCACAGGAGGTCTTAAATGTACCTTTAGTCGATGTTCCTCCAGCTGTTCATAGATGAATGAGATTCCAGCATGATGGAGCCCCAACTGACTCCAGCCAGAATGTCAAGAATCACCTAGACACTGTCTACGGCCAGCATTAGATAGAACAGGGCTGACCAGTTCCCTGGCCACCGCGTTCTTCGATTTCTTCTTTTGGGGTTATATTAAAAGCATCCTGTAAGAGATTCCCCACACATCTGCAGAAGTTCCCTGCTTGTCTGTTGCTGCTGCACATGTGCTTGATATGACTAATGTCTTTGTACGCCGATCCATGCACTTCTACAGAAATGGTGCTAGTGGCTGTTCTTTGGAGCACCTATCCCAAACTATTATTTATTTATTTATTTTTTGTCTTTACTTGTCTTTTCAGTTTCCTGTGATTCATACTGCTTTGCGTGCTAGGGCTTTAATATGACATTTCCACACATACATTCCTATATGAAATCTGCTTATTCAGGTCCCTTCTACCTGCCTTTACATTTCTGACATATAGTTTTAAAAATCGAAGTACCAAGAAGGATTTATTGAATGTGACTAAATTTGGTATGCAAAAACAGCTTGATCGAACATGCAAATGATCAAAGTTTCAAGGAACAGGAATTGCAATCATAGCGTGCATTTCTAGTGCACAATTTGTAAAGTATAAAACCAGTAACAGAGGTGGAAGATTTATCTTTTTTTGTTGCTGCCATTGTAGTTCTGTAAAGAAGCAATTAAAGATGCCATTACGACGATATTGAAGACCTTATAGACAACTAAATGACTTCGAATGTGGTCGCATTGTAGGGTTGCGTGAAGCTGGGTGGTCATCTGAGCAATAGGCCACCACCTGCAGCGTACAGAACACTGCTGTGCAAAGATGTTGGCAGCAAGGGTTGCTACAAGGAAATTGCCAATGAAATGAAGGCCAAAGAGCAGATATGCGAGGCATCTGACGATGCTTGTCTGAGAGGACGTTATGCTCACAGAGGCCTTTAAGACGTTTGCCTTTGACCCACAACATTGGCAGAGTCGTCTGAAGTGGAGCACAGCCAATCATTATGGCTGCCATCAGACTTGCATTGTATAGTGTTCAAAGATGAATCCCGCTTCACTCTTGAAGCAGATAACCACTGTGTTCATGTCTGGAGAAAACGGGGCCAGCAGTCCTAGTCAGTCTCTTTTTTACAAAGGCACACAGCCATAACCCCTGGTGTAATGGTATGGGGCACTATTTCTTATGACACCAGGTCATCTTTAGTCATCCTCCCTACGTCTTTAACAGCTCAAAGATATGTTGATACCATCCTGCGGCCAGTTGCATTAGCCTTCATGGCATGTCATCCTGGGACTATTTTCCCATAAAATAAAAAATAAAAAAATGTTGATTTATAAACCTTTTGCCAATCTCAAGATCAAGATCAGTTTTCCACAAAAATTTTGATTTTGGGGCTTGCAAATATCATGATGATTTTATGACAAATGTACAGTTATTACAGTATTATCAAAAATAAAAAAATGCATTATTTTAGAAATAAAATATATTTATTTGGTCTTTGGTTATGGAGGACCAAATCTCTTTACCAGAAGCACAACCTGTTTAGTAGAAGTTGACCACTTTTTAGAGTGTGCCAAACTAAAATCCTCTACACAACAACTCTTCAAGTAAACTATATCAGTTCTTAAGTTTTAACAAGGATTGTCACCATTTTCATATCCTTTTTGTTGTATTCCCTTTTCCAATGCTCTTTTAGGAAAAATTGTGAAGGTAATTAGCATCAGAGGTGCTTTCAGCCTCTGGCAACATTTACAACTCCATTGAACCACTCCTTCTAAAGACATGTTGTTTTAAAATATTTCGTAATTATGTTGTTGCATTTTGTGTAGTGTACGTGGGAAGAAATAATAAAATCAAGTATAAAAGGTAATATTAACATAAAGACAAAAAAGTTGTATAAGTAATGTTACTAGGAAACCTGAATATTGATATGATGAACTGAGGAATAGATGAAAAAAATTAATGGTAACACTTAGCGCTGTATTGAAAATTCTAAACATTTGCTGCTTTTAAAAATTTTGTGAATTTGCTGCTGAATACATCTGGTGTAAGCATGAGTTAAGTTATGTTTGATAAAGACAAAAAACGTTTGTATTAGCAGTATTGAATCCAAAAGCAGATTTTGTAAACTGTGAGTTTGGTGAGAATATACAAATTTAACAAACTTTTTTTCTTTATTTTCATTTCTGTCTTTGGTTGTAAACTCAGTTTTAAGATACTGTGTTGTGGAATTAGTTCATAGTGAAAGAAATTGCAATAAATTGTCTGCAGGAATACAATAACCAGTATTGTAAAGAGTACAATTTCTTTGAATCCATAAAGCCATAGCGTTGAAATTTCCTTTAGGACAAAGTAGGTTTATAGATTTAAAAATATATAATAAACACTTATTTAATATATTATAGAAAATAGTCTATTATCTGACACTGAAATAATGTTATCCTGTGACACATTCTGCCAGGCATTCATCAGTTTGTCGTTCCAGATCTGCGATATTTTGTGGTACATGAATCTGGTGGCCTACGATGTCCCATACATGCTCGATTGATGAAAGCTTTGGTGACCTTGCTGGCCAAGGAAGAGTATCAACCGCAAGGAGACAGTCCAGAAATATGCAAGTGGTATGTGGCCTGCCATTATCTTGTTGGAAAATGGGCCCAGAATGACGTGCCGTGAAGGGTAATGAAACTAGCCGTAGGATGGTATCAACATATCATTGAGCTGTTAAAGATGTTCGGAAGATGAATAAAGATGACCTGCTGTCATGAGAAATAGCGTTCCACACCATCACACCAGGGGTTATGGTTGTATGCCTTTGTAAAACAAAAGCTGATTGGGGCCGCTGGCCCCGTCCTTTTCAGACACGACACGGTGGTCATCTACTTCAAGAGTGAAGCGGGATTCATTGCTGAATGCTATATGATGGCAGTCTGAAGGCAGCCATGATGATCGGCTGCGACGCCACTCCAGATGACTCTGTCGCTGTTGTGGTGTCAAAGGCAAACGTCTTAAAGGCCTCTGTGAGCATAACCCCGTCTCAGACAAGCACGTGAGATGGTGGACGGTTCAACGGGAGTTATAAACAGGGATGCAGTGTGTTGAATAGTCGACAATGATTCCGTTGGGGCGGTTCAGGCTTGGCAAACAATCATCCTATTTTGCCTCGCATATGTGCTCCTTGGCCTTCCAGAGCCTTCATTTCATTGGGAATTTTCTTGTAGCAACCGCTGCTGCCAACATCTTTGCACAGCAGTGTCTGTACACTGCAGGTGGCGGCCTATTGCTCGGTATGACCACCCAGCTTCATGCAACCCTACAATGCGACCATGCTCGAAGTCGTTTAGTTGTCTGTAAGGCCTTCAATATCGTCGTAAATGCATCATTATTTGCTTCTTTATGGAATTACAATGGCGAAAAAAAATTCTCCTCTGTTACTGGTTTTCCACTTTGTGAATTGTGTGCTATGATCACAATTTCTGTTCATTTGCATGTTCGATCAAGATGGTTTTGCATACCAAATTTCGTCACCATCGCAAAAGTCCTTAGTGCTTAATTTTTTTTTTTTTTTTTTGCAAAAGAGTGTATTGCTAACTTGCTTGTCTAACTTGCATCATGCTGCCCCAGCTGCTCGCCTATAAACAATATTTCTGCAGCTGCACCAAAGGCTGTTGTACACACTGTGGATGCCATAAGGCGGGCATTCCTTGCTCTTCAATATGCATTTGTGAGAGCACATGCACCAGTGGCTCTCCAAGTTGAATACGAGAATTTAGCATATGAGGAGAGCCTTGAAGACCCACTTGACACCCTGTAATGAACTGTTTGACCCAATACATTTGATTTACTTACTAGCTACAGTTAAATTTACTCGTAATCTGATTCAAATCTTCAATATTAATGTACAAGACAATTGTAAACTGTAATTTAGTTTTAAATCCAAAGAAAGTACAATTTTTGAATTGATGTTAATTTTGTCAGCCCTGTAACTGTTAGTCCTAGGGCAAAATTGCGTAGAATAATTTTTGTCGGAAATTTTGTCAGTTTCAGTTTTGTATGTAAAGTATTTTTCAGTAAGAGTGTTAGCTTCCGAGATATAAGCGAAAAACTGAAGAAAGGGACTTTTAAACCCTTCCCCCACCTCGAGGGCTTATTACACACATTAAACCAAGTCTAAAGGAAACGTTTAAGACCATTTATAAAACACTGTGATATTTTTCCACCAATCTGCCTAATTTGACTGAGCTAAATGAGGTCTGTATTGATCTCATGAGAGTCATTGAAGGCATTCAATAGCCCAATATGCACCAGCACTTGGTCTGCATAATCAAGATCCAATTGATTACAAATTTATTAATAAAGTTGATATATATTGATTAATATAAAGTTATATCATGTACTAAGGTCAAGAAGTCATATAAAGTCATAAAATAAATACGAGAAAAAATAAATATTTTTTAATATATAATTTTTTAATGCAATAAGTATAATAATTCAAAGTAAAATTTGTTACTAAACTAACATTATTGACTTTCCCTTTTCTTACATGGGGGAAGCAGGCTATAGTTAAGACAGTGATTTATTATGGAAAACTGCGTAACGTATGTACCAGCCAGATTCCCTTAAACGGTCTTGCAGAATGTTAACTCTTAAGCAGGTAGCCCTCAAATACTTTGCTATAATCAAATAAGCCAAAGTATTATGGAAAATAAGAAACAAGTTGAATATTTTTAAAAAATGTGACTTAAGTAATTTTGTGCAGAATATTGAAAAACTATATCATGCAGCCATCAAATTCATTAAAATTGAATTTCTTTGCAATTAGAATCTGTGATTTTGTATCTGAAAACTTAGTTGTGTTCTTAATCGAAAATTATAATGCAAAAGTAATAAAACATAAATCTGATAGCCCACCAGTGGCTGAGCAATCGCTGAAAACTGGTAATTAAGTTCGAGGTTCGAATCCCTCAAACAGGCTAGCTGCATGGGCATTTTCATGGTTTTCCCCATGTGTAACGTATATACGAACCAGTTTTTCTAAGAAAGTCCTCCGTGAAGGCATCTCTACCCTTATGCAGATAGCCTTTGACGATTTGCCTAACCTCATAAAGCAAACCATAAATTTGATGAACCATTTTTTCCCAAAACATTTATTCGTATTCTTAGTCCAATTGTTAAGTTATTTATGTGCAACTATTTGTATTATGATTATGTTGTATGCTGTATTTTGTATAGAAAAATGTAAGGTGGTCAATGATGAAATCCATTCTTATAAAAGGGGTCAATGCAAGAATCCCTGATCTAATTTTATTTTAGACTCTTATATGGATTTATTCAGAAAGTTTTATGTTTATGTGCGCTGCATAATGGATGTTTCTTATTTCTTGTAGATTGGATGTGTTTTAAACCATCATTGTTAAGAAATTTATTAGAATCATGTTTCTACCTTGGTGAGTTATGTTTTCAAGCTGGGGAGCCACGTTTTGCTAGGTGCTATTTACAAGAAGGTTTGAAAGCTGCCGAAGCTCATGTTTTAACTTGTTGGTATGATTTTTTGTTCTACTTATTTCTTTTATAAATGTAATAATATCCAAATATTTTATTGTAAACTGCATGGTAATAAGATTTCCAGGTTATCATGTTTAAAGCGTACACTGTTCTGTTCATTAGATATTTCTATAAGAGAGAATAAAAAGGTCTCGAATAATTAAGTTAATGCACTGTAGAAATATTTTGTAAATAAATTGCTTCAAATGCCTCGTATCTATTTGTGCTTTTGTTTGCATATCTTGAGGTTTGAGAGTACTATTATTCCTGTAGTATGTACCCTTTTTTGAGGTATCATAAGAATGAATTTTCTTTTGATGAGAATAGTTTTCCTTTCTGCAGTTGTACATTTAAGGAAGACATGTATTTAGGTTCATTTTTGAAGTCCCAACATACACAGTAAATTTTTCACATTATGTCAGAAATCGGGTTTAGTGTCAGATATTTACAAAATTAGCATTTCAGCATCTTTTGGACACATTTTGAAAGACATAAAAAGAGGTAATGAGATTCATATAGTTTTATTTTGTATTGTCCTGCATTTAGATAAATACACAAACCTTATTTGTCTTTGCTTTGGTTCTACTATCCCTTCAGGTGCCAAAAGTAGATTTTGCTGTCACAAGCTTTTTTTGCTACTATCAGCATTAAAACTGAAAAATGCCAGGATGTGTCTAAGAATTTTTTATATTTTATGTCTTTCACATTGTTGAGTCTGAGAATTTTTTATATTTTATGCCTTTCACATTGTTGAGTGATTTCCCCTTTATAAGTCCATGGAAAGTATACTTCATAAATTTTTAATAAACACTAACTTCATAAATTTTTAAATATCCACCATAAGCTATTTTATCATATCTCATTAATGTTAATTGGTAATTTCAGAAAAGCAGCCGAAATCAGTTAATTCCTTGTGTGGTTTTTAACAATAACGATTAGCATGGGATAAGGTAAAGAGACAAAACTAGGAAGCCATTTTCCCAAAGCATAATACTTCATTCATTTCTCACCAGTTTTATCTGAGGTTATAAGCACAAAATTTATAAACTCAGTGATTTAAAAATACAGTCTTCAAGCTTATCGCCAGTTCTCTGCAGTAAATAAAACCTTGAATTATACTTGAAAGTTTTTTTGTATTTGGCCTTCACTGGAAATCTCTAATTAATTTCAATTCAATTTTTTTTTACGCTTTCTATGGAAACGTATAAAAAAACGCAAGAAATACACAGCAGAGGAAACTACTGTGTTATGTTTTTACCCTCCTAAGTAAGCCTAAAGATTCAGACAAATATCTAGATGATGGACCAGATGAAGGTTTTAGCTGAAAGCAGAAATACTGATTTATCTATGAATCATCTATAATAGCGTTTCTTAAATTAGGGGTCGCCAAAACATTTAGCAATTTTGATATTTCTTTAACTTATTATAATACTTTTACAATTATCAAATATTTTTACGCAATGTATCTGAAAATAGATAAGACAATACAAACAAAAAAAAAAAAAAATATTTCGACACATTCTTTTAATAATAGAAACTTTCATTTTACTTGCTTTCCCACGTGACGCTGTCATTTCATCTGTTACTTATTTAAAATTTTCACATTGTTGTATGTCTTAAAATTAGAAATTAAAGTTAATGACCTAAAACTGCAATAGTGTATTACAGTACAAGTGAAAAAATTGACAGTTTCACATGTGCGTGCGTCAGATTTGCGCAATGCTTATGGGGTCCCACAAAATTTTCGTAAATAATATGGGGTCCTGGAGGTTGCAAAAAAATCTCAGTAATAGAAAGGGGTCACGACTGAAAAAAGTTTTAAGAAGCCCTGATATAAAATATATCTAATTTACAGCTCCTTTTACAGATTGTAGTACAGTAGAAGTCCAGAAATCCACAGAGCTTGGGACCAGAGGTTGTGCGGTAGGATTTTGCAGATTTCAGGACAGGAAAGTTAAATCATAATATTCAGTCTAAAAGTTCAAAATAAATAAGGCATATTAGATACATTTAATTAAATTATTATACACATCATTGCAATAACTTATTATATGCATTAAATTATTATTACATATATAAATTGGTTATAGTGTTCTTTGTATTATATATACACAGCATCGAGATTTGCCGATTTCACTTCATGCAAAGATTTCCGGTTTCGAATCCCAATGTTAGAATCACTGTTGTTGTAAAATTTCAACAGCTTTTCTTTATTGTTCCGTATATCATACACAATCGTGTCGTAAATCCATATGATTCTGCTATAAACCGAGGAGTAACACATGCCTCCATCTTTTGCAAAATTTGTCTTTTTTGCATTACCGCCAATGCAACGTGTTTACGTTTTTCAACGTTCCAGGCAGCAAAATCATGAGTGCATTTCTTATCTGTAATTGTATTAAAAGGGCTGAAATTTAAAATATTCTTAATTTATCCACAAATTATCCGGATTAAAAAAAAAGGCAGCACTAAATAATCTCGTGAAATAACAAAGTTCAGAAAGTACAACAATGGGAATCGTCTGCATTTTTACCTCGATGCAGATTAGAGGGGTAAAAACTTTTATCATGATGTCAATAATTTGGTATTTCCATTATGACACATTGTTATTCGGCAATTATGGCGTAATTATTCGGTAAGTATTTTTTCTTCGATATTTCGTACTCAATGTTGTGGTTTCCAGAACCTATAAACTGAATGTTTATATTTTGAGAGGCAAAGCGAATTTCAGGTCGGCGGATTTTCGGTATTTGACTGTATTAACAAGATATGTTTTATGATTTTCATATAGTGAAACATAAAAAGAAATAAATCTAAAAAACATCCTTCCTTTCAATAATGCAATAGTGAGTGGTGGTAAACATACAACCCCCTCAAAAAGGGGGGTGTATGTTATATTAATCAAATTAATTTTATCTAATAAACTAAGTGAATTTCTTTCTTAAATCATTCTCAATTCAAAATATTTTAATGTAGTATCACTAGAAAAAATGGCTTTATGAAGGGTTAATATTCAATGCACACAACTTTATATGTTCAGAAGCCATTACTCCTGAATAATGTTGAATGATATAAATAATAATATTGTTACTCAACTCAGTAAACATTAGAAAGATAGGAGATTATTAATGAAATTCTATGTTTTGAATCAGAAGTGAATCACTGGGGGGGAGAAGTGAAAAGGAAATTCACTCAAGGTTTGCCTTAAAACTAAAAAAGAGAAGGAAAATGTGTGTTTAGAAATTTTTATGAAAATTTTTTTTTTTTTTTTTAATTTTAAGTAAATTTTCTTTAAAAAAAGAAAGGCTGATCAGTGATATAATTGTTATATCAGTAGTGGCATAAGTTGATATTGATTTTACTATGAGTAACAAACAATTCTTACAAATGTCAACAATCCTTTCTTAATTTTCATTTATTGTATTATTATGTATGTATAAATACTGTAGTGATGAATAATTACGTAATATGAATTTCTCTGGATCAGATTCGAAGAATATCACACACATATGTGATGTAGCAAATTTCTGATGACCAAATAATTTAATGCAGTAATTGGATATTGTGCTTTTACAGAACTTCTGATCTAATGAAAGCTTTGCCTCAGTAAGATTAAAAGAGCTCCAAGAGATTTTTATTGAAAATAGGCTTGCGCGATTTCTTGCGGTGTAACAATTAGAACTACTAGAATTTAAATGCTACTTTAGTTTTACCATATATAAATTTTATCATTTTGATTATGTGATAGTCTAGAGTAGGGGTTCTTAAGCAGGGAGAATCTCATATTTTTAGGACGGTGAGAAGGCAATCAGCCTGATTCCACCTGCTTCCTGTTTTATCATTTAAAACATAGTCTAAATCTAAATAAATATTTGTGTATCTTCTAACAAGTGTAAAAGGGATGTTGAGAGCCACACTGGTCTAACCCTCTCAGGACATAAAATTTTGTATTGAAGGATATTTTTCTTATTCATTAGGTATAAAAATTTCTGCCAGCTTTTAATGCTTCTGAATTTGGGTTGAATTTACATTGGAAGAGAAGGAATCAAGGTACAAAGTGAGAGAGACCTTTTTAAATTATCAAGAAATACCATTTATTCACAACATTTTGAGGAGCTTTAAAATGCCAGGGCTAAAACCGTAATGCTCGTAGGGTTTAAGTGTTATTCTTGAAACCTGATAATCAAAGCTATACATAAAGATACTTTATAGAAACATAGATAGATGTAATTAAATATAAATTTGCATTTATTGTAGCATTTAATACAATTCTATCAGCAATTTATTTAAAATAATAACATAATTCATCAAAACTTGTATAAAGTATATATATTAATTATTGTATTTAATACAATCATGTAAGTAATTTATTTAAAATAATAACATATGCAAGCATGCCAGAAAATTCTATTAATGATTTTATTTAATACAATTTTGTTAGCAATTTATTAAGAAAAACATGCATACCCATCCCATAAAATTCATTTTTTACTGACTTTCTGATGGCCGTGGTCCAGCAATTGCTGCTAATAATATCTTAGACATGAACTATAGCTTCTTTTTCTGCTGATAGGAGATTGAAAATAGTAAGAATAATGTGTGTTTTACTGTAAAAAAGTGTATTTATACAAAGTGATTATGCATTAAATATTTGTTTCTTTCATACACATATATTGGCTACTGCTTATTTCTCTCACATGTGCAGATCGGTAACCATTTGTTTCTTTCCAATGCACAAAAGCACCAAATCCACTATCTTACTATGGAAGTACAAGCATCTTTTTGAAATTTATTTTCTTCTTTATGATAGCTATAGTTAGCATTTGCTAAAAGAATTGTTATAAAAACATTTATGTCACTGCATTTTTAATTTAGATTCACATTTTAATTATCTTTAATAAATTATTAATGTCTTGTTTAATTTTTTACCTAGGTCCTCCAAAATGTTGCTGCTTTTAGGACAAGTTGATTTATTTTGTGATAATCCTGAAGACTGTATGGTAAAGTTAAATGGTTTAAAATACATAATGAGTGAAAATTCTAATATTAGCATATCAACTTTATTGTCAAAAGTGCATGAAGAAACTGAAGATATAACACACAGTTCATTTGAAGAATTAAACATACATAGTAAGGATGGCATCTCTTTATTGTGGGATTTCAAACGAAGATTTATCAAAAATTCTGATGTACACTCTTCACCAGTTAGTTCTAAGAAATTAAAATCAGGGAGGTCGGTCAACCAAGTATCTTCTAGTGCTCATTCAAGGTTTTCAATTAATCTTGTACAGACAGAAATAGCCTTCATTTCAAGTTTATATTTTATTGCTCAGGGTGAAACAACTGGAATTGAAAGTGAGTTAAAGGCTATACTCAGAGATTGTGATAATTTGAAGAAACTAACTCTTATTTCGAATAAAATACTTTCAGCAAAATTATGTGATTCAGTAAATGAACTCTCCAGAAATCCATCAAAACCTGAAGTAATGTTATCAACTTTTACTGCTCTTAAACTTTCTTTGATTCATTTCTCTAATGGCAGTTCAGATGAGGCTGAAAATTATATTAATTTAGCTTGTGCTTCTTTAAACTCATCTTCAAAGTTTTACAAATATTTATATCCTAATATTTATGCCCTGATAAAATATCAAGAGATAATTGCCACTTTAAAGCGTATGATGAAAATAAAACCCAACTTTTCTCTTGAATATCAAATTTGTCCTTCCATTAAGAGCTGTTATCAAATGTCAAATGCGAGAAAGTTGAAAAAAACATCGTTTAATTGTTCAACTCCCTGCAATAAAACTGTTCCTCGATCCACTGGTGCACATAATTCCAGTCGTCACGAAAAATGTAGGGCTCCTATTAAACGTGAAACTTTGCCATCTCATATTAAGAAAGATTTAACTTCAAAACCTTCCTTTCAGTTCTCTATTAAGGATTCACCTGTTCTGAATCTCAGCAATAGTGAAGATGAATTAGTATTTGAAAGTCCTAAGAAGGATGCAGTGTTTCAGACAAAGTCAAAATCTACCAGAAAGTGCAGTTCAAGGCAAGAGAAAGTGAAAAAAACGTCAGGTGATGAGTATAAATTCTTTAAGTCTCGCAATTTCAACCTACAAGTAACTTCTGCATCTGATATTTGGAACTTAGCATTACTTGACACACCAAAAATGGAAAAGAAACCTCTGAAATTAAGAGCGAGTAAAACAGGTCCAGTAAAATCAATAAAACATAGGAGAAAAACTGGAGCTGTTAAATCTGAATCAAACTTGCCACAAAAGACTTCAAATATTTCTTCAGATGTGTCCAGTAAACCTTCAAAAAGTGGCAGTAATTCCAAACTGCCACCTGATGTTATATATGAAGATAACGACTCGGGTAAGGCATCATGTGACTTTAAATCCCATGATTTCCTAAGGCCAAGAATTTTTATAGAGAGCAGTAGATCCTCACCTAGAGATCCTTCTATACCTGAAGTAAATTTAACTGATAATAGTGAACATGATCTTCTATTTCCTCCGAACGAAACTTTTAGCTCATCTGGTTCAAGAACAGAGGATCCACTGTTACATACAGTCAATGAACTCTGTGAAGATGTAACTGCATTGGTGATATCAGAGAGCATAAATGATTCTAAAGATTTAGCTATACCTGGTATGTTTTACTTTATTTTGGAAATAAATTTTTGATTATCCTGTTACTAACAATGTTTATGGATAGGAGTAATAAAGACACTGTTTTGCAATGATAAATTTATTATTTTACAATATCTTAGTAATTGAAACAGAAAATGTTTCAAGTTTTTTTTTTTTTTTTTTTTTTTTTTTTTTTTTTTTTTTTTTCAGTGGCAAGCTGACACCTTGCCACTGAAAGCAATTCCACAATAACATTTTGTTGTTGCTGAAACCAGATATATTAATACATTGTTGCCAATCAGTTTTACCCTGAAAACTATTATATTAATAAATAATTTGTATTTATCATGCAAGTCATATTTCAATAATAATAACCAACAAATAAATATTATAAAGTATACATTTTTAGAATAGTTAACTTTTTACAGTCTGCATTTTTGCCGAAAAGTCATGAGAAAGTATTTGAGGCAAGGTGCTACAAGTATATCACCGAAATAGATAAAAATCCAAGATGTCACCGAAATGTATTTATCTAACAACCCAAGTATGTGCATAGCATATGTCTGTTTGCACTGGTGCTATTTTTATTGCTTGACTGCTGTCATGAGGAATTCTTAGTAAACCACAATTTTTAAAATGGCTGTTAACTTTTATACATCAGCTTGGTGAATAATTAGTCAATTCACAAATGCTCTCCAAAGTTGTCAATGAAGTCACACTCTTTTGGTGGAGGTGCAGATAATCAGAAAAAACTTTAAATAATTATTTTCTTTAAATCAACTTTTTCTGAATTTATGCAATTTTATTCTTATTAATTTCAATATGAAATATAGGATATTTTTTTTAATTACCATTATTATATTTTGACATAATCTGTTCAGCATATCTTTTTCCATTAGGATATCTTGTTAAAAAAAGTTTAATGTAAATTTATGTGAATGTATTTTCCAGAAATGAAATTGAAAGAATTTATAGCTGAACTGAAAGATATTAAGCAGCTTTTACACCATAGTCTTTCCTATCCCATATATGCTGACCTCTGCAGATTGCTAGCAATTTTGCTGATGAATCAAGTAAGATAACTTTTTCTGATATTTTAAAAATATTTCTGCAATGAAAAACTAAATATAGTGGATGCCACTTAATGTGATCGTAGTTAAGGTTATCATTTAGATATTATCATTTTGCTGAATCCTGCCAATGTGTATACCTGAAACATGGAAAATGCATCGCTTATTGTGATCAATAATTTGGTTAATATGATCAGAATGTTAATAGAATAATTTTTTAAGCTTAAATAAAGCTTCCAAATAAAAAATTAAATTTGTGAAATAAGGTTAAAATAGATTACAGAACTTGCCAAATTACAGAAAATGTTGCCAAGTGAGAAGTTAATTTACCCAAATAGTTATGTAATTTGCCAAATAGAATGTTTCAATTTCAGTCAGCCATTTAAAATTAGATAAAAAAATAACAATAGTCCAATGAGATTTTTAATAACCCTATCAGTTTTGAGAGCGATCAGACGCAAGTCTTTCATCTTCAGGAACAAAAAAATTGTGCACAATTTTTCCCTTTCTCTTGAAAAAAATAAATTCCTGAAAATATCTGCGAGAAACCAAGGTTGCTGTTTTGCTTAATTTAAAATTTTGTGCCCCTCGGGGGGCTCACTTTTGTGAGTACGGGTGTGGCAATCCCGAGGTACCCTAGCCCTTCAATGGATCATCTTCTTGATGAGACGGGTGTCACGATCCTGGAGTCCCAGTGATCTATCCTCTTTTCCGTCTCCTCTCCTCTAGGCTGGAACTTTTTCCCTTCCCTTCTCCCTTGTGGTTTCTCTCTACAGAGTTTGGGGCTCGTCACGAGAGACTGGAACAGACCTTGTCTCTAGTTTTCGAATGGTGAGAAAACTGCGTGCGTGGAGACCCGTGTCGCTGGAAAGGAGGGTCCTGGTAGTTGAAGGACGAGGTACTGTCCCCAACACACTGCTTTGGCTTCTGCTTCTTCTAAATGGGAGGCACTTTATCGTACTCATGGGTATCAATCGGCTGGCCACTGGTCCTTTTGTCAGTGGCTTGGGGACAAGCTCTCGGGAGTACCTGCTTTCGGGAAAGCCGACTGTGGGGCTTCAGTTTGCGTATAGGTCCGGCTAGCCCTAACACAGGAATCTGTGTACCCTTGTTGGGCTCCGTGGTGGGCGGGGCCGTCAGACCCGAATCTTGAATTATTTATCATGGCTTCCCTTTTCATTTTAAAAAAACCTGAGCCAAATGACACCAATCAAGACATTGAAATCATAGACAAATCAGTGAGCAAGAAAATTCATACCGATGCAAATGCCAAAGTAACTACTGAATGTCCTCGCTTTGTTGTTGTTTCCAGTGCCTCTGAAGAACTTAAAAAGATGTCTCCTTTCCTGATAAACAAATATATCCATTCTTGCATAGGTGAGCCAAGGAACATAAAGCGTCTCCATTCTGGAGACCTGCTTATTAGATACCTTTCGGCCAACCCAGTCTGCTTCACTTTTGTCACAAACCAAACTTGGAAATGTAGAGCTATAACTGTGTCAGTGCATAAAACTCTGAATTTTTGTAGAGGTGTGATCTCGGAATTCGATCTTCTGTGTGTTTCAGAAGAAGAGTTCGTTTCCGAGTTAGCTGATCAAAAGGTTTGTGCTGCCAAGCGGATCAAGATGCGAAAGGAAGGTCAGTTGATTGACACAAAACACGTGATCCTGACCGTCAAATCGCCTGATCTGCCGAAGAATATTAAGGCTGGATATCTAAATTGCCCCGTAAGGCCTTATATTCCAAACCCCATGCGATGCTTCCAGTACCAGTGTTTTGGCCATTCGAAGATGTCCTGTCGTGGACCCTGACGTGCGCTCGGTGTTCGTCGGTTGGCCACGACAGCGATAATTGCACTGCTGCAGCACTGTGTATTAATTGCAAGGGCGACCATCCAGCATTTTCCCGTTCCAGTCCAAAATGGAAATTAGAAAAGGAAGTTCAGACCATAAAAGTTTCTAGGAACATTTCATATGCCGAAGCCAAGAGACAAGTTCAAAGCACACAGCCTCAATCAAACAAATCATATGCCAGCGCCGTTAAATCAACATGCACTATAGCCACCCAAACTTCCATAAGTACAAAGACTCCACCAAATAAAACCCAGCAACCTGTAAACAACAAAAAAGAAAATACAACACACATCGTACAAAATAAAGAAATAGCTATTCAAAGCAAACCAAAACATGTCCCTCCAAAACCAATTAACAAAAATAGAAGTCCCAGCAATAGTTCTGTAAATGAAACTATTTCTGAATCTGCAGATTCAGACAGTATGGAAGTTCCCGAACATCTGCTTCCGCGCAAAACTAAAAAGGAACCCAGAAAGAACAAACATCAATCATAATGGCCACCCTCGTCTCATGGAACTGTCGCGGTTTCCACCGAAATTTGCTTGACATCAAAGCTATGATCAATGCTTATCATCCTGTGTGCTTCGCAATACAAGAGACAAATCTGAAACCAGATCAACATGCAAAACTTCGGAGGTTTTCTCTCGTCAGGAAGGATAACCTTGCAGGTGAGCGTGCCAGTGGAGGTGTATGTCTCCTCACCTCACTGGACTATCCCTCAAGTTCCTTTCCTTTGACGACTTCTCTCCAAGTTGTCGCTGTACAAGTAAACTTTCATATTGTAGTTTCAGTCGTTTCTCTTTATTTGCCTCCTAATGAGCACATTGATCAGCAAGATTTAAATGATCTTTTAGAGCAGCTGCCTGAGCCTTTCATCATAATAGGAGATTTTAACGGCCATAGTCCGCTCTGGGGTAGTAAAGATACAAATTGCCGAGGAAGACAAATTGAGCAGATGATCGAAGATCATAGCCTTTGTCTCCTGAATAATGGGCAGGATACTTACTTCCATGAGCCTTCAAGGACATTCCACGCTCTCGACCTTGCCATCTGTTCACCATCTCTGCTGCCATTTTGCACTTTTAGTGTGGGAATGATCTTTACAACAGCGATCACTATCCCATTTTTATATCTCTTGCACGAAGAGGAGCAAACCCCATGTCGAGATCCCTCGATTCATACTCGATAGGGCAGACTGGGAACTCTTCTCTTCCATTGCAGAGCTCACAGATGAAATGGTAGAAGATGCGCATATCGATGATGCTGTTGAAGCTGTTACTAATACTATTATTGAGGCAGCTATGCTTTCCATTCCTAGAACATCAGGAAAAATACTGAAATATTCGAAACCGTGGTGGAATCGCGACTGTCATGAAGCACTGAAAAAACAGAAAAAGCATGGGGTATTTTTCGTAGATATCCTACTCTGCGAAACCTCATAGCATTTAAAAGAGCCAAAGCAAAATGCACGAAAAGTAGAAGAGCAGAGCCAAGAATTCCTGGATTTCATATGTGTCGTCAATAACATCCTCTACGCCTAGTAAGCGGGTTTGGGAAAGAGTTCGAAAAGCATGCGGATATATAAAGACCACTCACTTTCCTTTTTGGAAAAAGATGGCCGAGTGATTAGCTCCATAGAAGAAATTGCGAATACTATGGTGAGACATTTGCTGCCGTTTCTTCCAGCAGAAACTATTCACCTGCATTTCTCTCTATCAAGCAGCACTCTGAAATAAATCCCATCGCATTCAACTCTTCCAAATCTGAGCCTTACAATAGAGCATTTACTATGCTGGAATTAAAGAGAGCTTTATTGCAGACACATAGGTCTTCTCCGGGTCTTGATGGCGTGAATTACGAAATGCTAAAACATCTGTCCTATAAGTCACTGACTGCCCTTCTCACTCTTTACAATAGAGTGTGGAAGGAGCGTATTTTTCCCAGTGCATGGAGGAGAGCTGTTGTAATTCCTATTGCTAAGCCAGGGAAAGATCCAAGGAATCCCTCCAACTATCGGCCAATTGCCCTTACCAGTTGTGTATGCAAACTGTTTGAAAAGATGGTAAACAGCCGCCTAGTCTACTTCTTGGAAAAGAATAATATTATATCGCCTTATCAAAGCGGTTTTCGAAAGGGAAGAACAACCGTAGATAACATGCTCCTCTTAGAGACATCGATTCGAAAAGCATTTGTAAGAAGAAGCCACCTTGTCTCGGTATTCTTCGACATTGAGAAAGCTTATGATAAGGCATGGAGATACGGTATACTTCGGCGATCTTCACGAGAGTGGCTTGCGCGGCAACCTACCAATTTTCATTCAGAATTTCTTGAACGCTAGAACTTTTCAAGTAAGGATTGGCTCTGTTTTGTCGGATGTTTTTGAACAGGAAGAGGGTGTGCCTCAAGGCTGTGTGCTTAGTGTAACCCTGTTTAGTTTAAAAATAAACTCTGTATTAAAAGAACTTCCTCCCACCATCTTGGGATCTCTATATGTTGATGATCTGCAGATTAGCTGTCGAGGGGCAGACATGAGATACGTAGAGAGGCAATTGCAGATGGCTCTGAATAAGATCCAAGAATGGTCAGACAAACAGGGATTTACTTTTTCGAAACAGAAAACTGTGTGCGTGCACTTTTGTAGGAAGCGTGGTCTCCATCCTGAACCTGAGTTATATCTGAATGGTACAATTATTCCAGTAAATTATTGTGGCTGAAGTAAAATTTTTAGGAGTGACGTTCGACCGAAAATTGACTTTCCTTTCTCATGTTTTAAACCTGAGAAAGAAGTGTCTAAAAACACTAAATATTTTAAAAGTGTTGGCGAACACCTCCTGGGGTGCAGAGCGTTGCTCTATGCTTCGCATTTACAGAGCGCTTGTCCGCTCTAAACTGGACTATGGCTCAGTTGTTTATGGATCCGCTCGGTCATCAGTATTGTTAAAACTGGATCCTGTTCACCATCAAGCTCTGCGGATTTGTTCAGGAGCTTTCAGGACTTCTCCTGTCCAGAGCCTGTATGTTGACTCTAACGAACCATCACTTTATCTGAGGCGTGAGCAATTGTCCCTTTTGCAATATTTTAATATTCTATCGCAACCTGAACATCCCAATAAGCTGTGCTTACTTGATAATGTGTGTAACACATTATTTGAAACACGTCCATCCTGTGTTCCTACCTTTCCTTTAAGAGTTCGCCCTGTCATTGAGGAACATTCCCTCTCTGATATGCGCCCCCAAGCAGTACAGAATTTTGAAATCCCACCTTGGGAAAATTCACGGATTCAGCTTCTTGATGTTTTCAAGCATCATGTGAAAGCAAGACGAGATCATTTACAGACAACTCTTCGCTGAGCACAGGCATAAATATAGCAGTTATTATCCGATATATACAGATGGATCCAAAGTCAAATGATCATGTCGGGATGGCATTTGTAATTTGAAGATTACATAGAGGGCAGATGCCTGCACCATGCTTTCTCAGTCCTAACATCTGAACTAACTGCAATATATTATGGTCTTTTGTACATCTCAAAGCTCTGCCACAAAAAGTTTCATAGTTTATACAGACTCCTATAGTGCTCTTAAATCTTTGGAAGCTTTTCCCAACACTCAAAATCCTGTGGTAGTGGATGTTCTCAAAATTCATATAAACTTAACGATTCGAGGATATGAATCCTGTACTGCTGGGTTCCCTGGACATGCGGGAATAAAGGGAAATGAGCTTGCAGATATCGCAGCAAAATCTGCTGTTGAACTGTCCAGCCTTATCCCTTTTAGAGACATCTGCTGTGTCATCAAAGAAGATCCGAAAAAAATGGCAGCAAATTTGGGATGTTCAGCATCACAAACAAGTTAAGAAATGTCAAGCCTAGAATTGAGCATTGGGATTTTGCTGGAAATCGTAAGGAGGAAGTTCTTTTGACTCGCCTCAGAATTGGTCACACTAGAGTGACACATAACTACCTTTTAAAAGCTGAAAATGAGCCTGTTGTTTTTAATTGTAATGTTTGTTTATCTGTTCGTCATATTTTAATTGAGTGTCCATGTTTTAATAGTCTTCGCCAGAAATATTTTAATAGCTGTGACTTACCTCTCGACCGTTTAATTGGAAGAGAGGTCAGTTGTAATTTATTTTGGTTGTTTAAAAGAGACTGGCTTTTATCACCTAATGTAATTTGTTTTGAAGATTGTGTCCTGAATTTTAAATGTGTGGTTTAACTTGTTTTTATATGACTTCATCCTCTGGATCCCCATCTCGTGTTTGGCACACTATAATCATCTTTGGTTTTGCGCCATAATCTCTCACTCACTCACTTAAAATTTTGTGCTATTATGTTCTGTTCTGACGACATATGCCTTCTGAATAATATGATTAAGAGTACACAGTCAGTCAAATAATTACCAGAAATGTTTAACATAAGTGAACAATTATAAGCAAACTGATTATATATTTCTTGAAATTTTTATATTAAATTAGTTAAATTCCATTGCTATTTTGAGGGATATTTATCATTGGTTAATGTTATTTAAATAGCTGTGGACAAAAATGGCATTTTAAATGGTGTTTACCATAGATTATATATATATATGTATATATATTTTTTTAATGCAGCTTTCTGACAAAATGTGTTATAATGAAACACTACTTTCTGTTGGTTTCCTGCTGAGTGAAACCTGTTCTGTTACGCTTCGAAATAGCCATATCACAAACCTCCTGTCCTTTAAAGTATGGGAAGAAAGTGAAGAAAAGAAGAGTGTGCTTAATTCATTAAAAGCAGTTGATTTACCAATTGATGTGCAAATGCAAAATATTCTTAATACCATCCCGAAAGGTTAGTTTATCTTTTATTGTTGTTTCACAGTGTATTACTGTATTTTTCTGAGCTTTTATATTTCACTCATGATGTTTCATTGTGGATGGGATTTTGTTATTGATTTTTAACATATTTCTTGATAAGCTATTGAGTTCAAATTTTGTACTCACATTTTTAGTCAACAACAATACAATGTAGTAAAGTGATTTTTTTTTTTTTTAATTTAATGTTTAAATGATTTTTCGTTCATATCTATGTTCAATGAACAAATTAAAGTTTGTAGAATTTTATTGTTGCATCATTGGATAAAGTGTTAAAATGTTTCAAATGAAATATGTGTGAAAATTGAATTTTAATTTCTGAATTTTTGAAATTGCTTGATTTTTTTCAGACTGTTTGATATTTAGAATTTTAAAATTTCACCATCTAAAAAAAAAAAAGAATTAGATGCAATGTTTTGAAATTTCTCAGATTATAAAATAAAACTTTTATTTCTCTTTTAAAACAAGAATGATTAAGATTATTCACTGAGCCATTTTCTACTTAAGAAAAATAACAATAATTAGATCAGATATTCATTTTGCATTCTAAAGTAGGACAGGAACAAAAAGCAGTTCGAGATTGCCATCTTGTCACACTTAATGATGAATTCGCAATATTAATTTTTTTCATTTTAATTTGACCATTTTTGTTGGTTTTACTGTTATGTGCTTAAATCCTGGAATCCAATGCAATAAGATTATTTCGAAGTCTCCCTTTTTTTGCTTGGAAGTTTTGTCAGAGGGACAAGTGATGGACCAGTGGTATTATCTTGAAGTGTTGACCCATCTTCAAGAGAAAAAGCTACAATCTGTGTGTGGGGGGGGGCAAATTCAGATTCTTCTTTCACAACAACACTCCCACATCTGACCTTCGATTTATGATTTTTGTATGAAGTTTGCAGTGTCTTAACTTTCCTAACCTTAATGCTCAATTGACCTAGACTTAACTTAAAATTCACTTCTAAAAGATGTAGTCACTGCTTTTGCCAAAGCACTATTGTCACAAGAATTTGAAAGGGTTTGAGAGAGATGTTTTTGCTGAAGAGCAGAGTGCTTTGAATGAACGAAGTTATATAATTTGTAAAAATACCTATAAAAAGTATTAAAAGATAGTTTCACAAAATTTTTTCAATAGATTTTGTTATTTCGGTTATTTCTAGCAGAGTATTGTAACATCTCTGCCAAACAAAAAATATGACATTTTTTTTAAATTTCTTTAATCCATGTGTGTTTAAATTGCTGCTGTTATTAGTTCTTAATTATGAAATCACCGTACTAAAAACAGTAAAGTATTTTATCAGAATTATAGAAAATGGAATATTTGTTCCAGATGTGAAATTAATTTCATGCTATCCTCTTCATTATTTTCAACCTGATCTGTTTTCAAACAAATCATGTTAAACCCTTATGCAATTTTTATTTATTTAAACACATTTTTTTAAAATTTTTAAACTTAAATAATGATATGTATCGCTATGAAATATTATCTTATTATCAAAATTTATAGAACATTAAAAAGACAATGAGAAACAACATAAAACTAATTCAATGTAATTAATTTTATTGATAGAATTTCTGAAAACTCAGTGTTATCATTTTCTATTTTCAGAGTTAAGCTAATTCAGAAGATGACTCTTCTGAATTACTGAATTCTTTGAATGACTTTTTGTTGTTTGACTTCTGAATTAAGATGACTCTGTAAAAACAGGATCTAAGTTATTAACTTAGTTTCTAAGATTTTTTTGTAATAAAATTGACCCAGATTTTAAAAAAGATGTCTTTTATTTAAATTTTCATAAAAATTTCCATTTAGTGCAAACAATAAATGAAAAAATCCATAAATGATGCATTAGATGATATTTTTTATACCTTAAATATATATTTTTTCTTGTAGCTTTTAGATGGTCCTTAAAGATAAGTTATTCTCAATTAACTTGTCTACATTCTGCATCTGTACACTTTAACTCTTGATTTTCTTAAACTTTTAAAAATAAATCAATAAAATATTTTTCAACTTCTTTAACTATTATGTTAGAAGAAAGATGCCAAACTTTTGGGAAGATTATTCAAATGATTTTCTAAGTATGTCCTTTATTTTGGTATATATTATCCCATTGACCATAAAACTGAACAACTATTGAGCCATGAAAGTGGGTGGATATCCAGCTTAGGTTGCACCAGTTGCATTCTAGGGAACTGATGCCTCTTCATTTAATAAACAAACTCGTATCATTCTTTATGTACAGATATAAAACACAAGCAGATATAAGTAACAGTTAATTTTATGTCCTATAAATTAATTGTTGTCAAAAATCAGCTGGGGTTATATAAATTGAAAGCACAGATGTTATTATGTTTTGAACCATCATGCTTATGTGTAACTGGTGCTAAATTGTGTTGCTTAGTGGTAATTTCATGGTTGACAGTATAATAGGTAAAATACCTTTATTTTTAAAGCATTAACAAAATATGATTTAAATTTCTAGATTGGACTGTTTTACAAATTTCTGCATTGACTGCTAAGGAAAATGGATCTGCTTTGAATGAAAACTCTACACCTACAAAACTGATAGTGTGTCGCTATCAGCACAATTCTATACCTCTAGTATCTTGTATTGATAGTTCATTGGTAAGAAGTATACTTGTTTTATATTGTTTATGTTATTACCAGCAGTGAACTGAAAATTACTTTCTTCATTTAAAAAATGTTCTGTTACTATGTTAAAATGTTGTTGGTTTGAAATTGTGTATCATTTATATTCCCCCCCCCCCCCGAACTGAAAAAGTAAACAGTATTTCTCCAATATTTTACATATTTACTGATATTATTCTTATTTATCTAAAAAGAATTTTACTTTAAAGAGTAACTCAGATTTTTATAATAGCATAGATGTATAATAGACTAAACTGCTGTTTGGGATTTATGCAAAAGTGTATTATGAATATGTATGTAATCAATTTTAAGTCCAGTTGACGAATTTGAACTGGCTGAAATTTTGGCTGCTCTGTTTGAAATTTCATTCAAGTCTTTTTTTTTTTTTTTTTTTTTTTTTTTTACTTCCTCGTACAGAGTAAAAAGGAAGTATTGTAATTGCAAAAAATTTCAAGTACCATATTTCAACGAAAATATCCATTTTGACTGCTATCAAATGCAGTTTAACTATGTTTTTGTGCAACATCTGTTTATAAGGACAGAATAAAGGTCTCTTTTCCTCCAAAAAAATTATAAAACTGATTTAAAATGAATTCCGAAGAGAATTTTTCGTGGCGTCTCTGTATACATATGTATGCATGTACCGTAATTTCCGGAAGAAAGGCCACATCAGCATAAATGCCGCACTCGAGAAAAATGGCGGGAAAAAATTAAAATTACACAGAAATGCAGCAATAGATTAAATTGCGCGTGACATCGTCATGGGCCTTATAGATGCAAAATCTGCTCCTATGTCCTGATGTATGACATATCAGTTAAGAAAAATACATGAAATTAAACCATAACTCAAAAATAAATTAAAGGTAAGAAATATATTTATGTTCACGAATATACTTATATTTACCCACTAAAGAAGTCCATATTTGTAATACTCAGATTAAAGACTTATAAAAAATGTTGTAACAACGAAATATTAAATTTGGGTGACAAAAGGAATTACAGCAAACTATTCATCATATGAAGCCATCAAAATCTGATTATTCATGATCTGAATTAAAAATAATAAATGATCTTCCAGATCAGGATTTACTAATTAAATAATTTATTAATTAAAGTCTTCCAGATCGTCACATTCATCCTCTTGGTTTTCAGTCTCTTTATCTAAGGATATAATTTCAGCTTCTTTGAACCCTGCTATTATTGACGATGTTTTTACCAATTTCCACGCACTTCCTACCCACTTTGCAACTTCTTCATAAGATGCTCTATGCATTTTACCACTTTTGCTATACGTATGCAATCCTTCACTCATCCAACACTCCCACCACTTTTGGACTTCAGCTTTGAAGGATTCATTACCTGACAAATCTAATGGCTGTAAGATTTTTGTCAAACCACCAGGAATTATTGCCATGGTCGTAGAAAATTTTTGACATCTGGTTTTCACTGACTCAAGTAAATGAGAACGCGTGGAATCCATTATCAATAACCCTTTTGGTTGGAAAAAAAATTCGTTAAAAAAGACACTGCCAAACTTTTTGTAGCCACTCCTGCATGATTGTTTCGCACGTCCAGCTGTTCTTGTTTGCACAAATAATCACGTCATTAGGAAAATCTCCCTTCGGAATAGTTTTTCGGCTTTAGCTTGTCACCGTTTGCGGCACAAGCTAACACACATGTAAATGACATTCTTTCATGCCCCGTCGAAAGCATAGATACAGTTTTTGCACCAGTTTCATCAACAGTTCTGTTTGCAGGAGAGTCGAAAGCTAATGGCGTTTCATCCATATTTATTATCTGTGACCAAAAAAGTTTTTTTTTGTCAATAATATCTGTCACATATTTTAGAAAAGATGCCTTTTTATCCTGCCAGTCCATTGGATAATTGTTGCCCGACTGTTGTTCTAGTAACGCACGAGAAATATTTTTTCTTTTCATAAATCTGCTACACCAGCAAGGCCCTCTTTTGAAATCATTTATGTTCATTTGTTTTGCAATAAATTTTGCTTGTAAGCGAATTTTTACAGTCGACATTGCCATTCCCTTTCCTGTTGCTCCTTTATCCAGTTTGCAAAGTTATCCTCTAGATTCGCTTACCTTGCAGTATCACTTCTTTTGGCTCATTTCTGTTGTGGCATATTTTTAAGTTTTTCTTTTTCAGTTCTCCAACGTCGAATACATCTCTCGTCCACTTCAAACTCTCGAACTGCTGCTCCATTTCCAATTTGTTCAGCATGTGAAATTACATTAAGCTTAAAACCAGCAGTATAGCTTCTGTGCTGTTTAGGTGCCATTTTCAAAAATATTCCGCTGCCTTCTTACTTAACACTTATGGGTCGCGCATTTATCAAAGCGCCGTTACGCTGCTGCTGGTTCACGCAGGTTCTACTGCTCGCCAACGGTGATATTTACGAAATTTTTCGAAACATAAGTAGTTGGTATATAATTATTATTAAAGAAAGAACTAAAATGACTGTTACAATATTTTTATTTCATTTTATTCCAATTACATTTCTTAATTGGTGCTAAAATGTTTTATTTAAAAAATTTAACTCCTAGGATCCATAGTTCTTTTTAGTATGATAATTCTGAAAACATTTTCCAACATGCAGAGAAATGTTGCAAGAAGAACACATATATGCAGTGGAACTTCTTTTCTTGGCGGCAGTGCAGACATTATAGGCCCTTCGCGGGTTTTGAATTCTTCCATTACCACTAATACATGTTATTCTATGTTTTCTCATGTCCGAAGTAAGTCTGCCTGGTGGATCAAACCTCGGCAATCTTTTATCACATTAAGCAGCCGATCTTGATTGTTTCTCCTCTTCATTCCCATTAATCCATGCTAGTGCAAGATTTAGTAAAAATTGTTTGAATCTAATAGAATTTTAGAATTTTCAGAATTTTTTATGTATATCTGGAACACGTTGAGTAATGCACAGTTTATGAGATATAAAACCTTTTTTTTTTTTTTTTTTTTTTTTTTTTTGTCCAGTCCATTTTTTTTGTTTTGCGAAGTATGGAATAACATGATAGGTAATGATCGGCGTGATCAACACCTTTCATAAATTTATTATACTCGTGTATGCAAATTGGTTTAATGCACTTTTGGATCTTTTACTCACACATTCGACCATGTCTGCTGAATGTAACGTAGAAATCATCATTATGAATTTTTTGGCCGAATTCCATTTTTGTACCATAATTTTCCCTTTTCTACGAAATTCCATTGACTTATTTTTCAATGTAGCAGATTTTAAACAATTTGGCACTCCTCTGCTTACTCTAATTGTGCCACAGATGTTTGTTTTATGCTTTAGTAACTCCTCTGCAACCTTTACACTATCGTAGTAGTTGTTCATATATACATCGTGCCTGCCATAAATTTAAATATGGTGATAGCACGGACAATATTTTCGCAATTAGCGATTTTCCTTGTGCGCAATATATTTCTAAATTGCATATATAACCAGATGTCGCCTCACACACCATACGGACTAAAATTCCATATTTTATAATTTTTGCAGGATTATATGTACGAAAAGATAGCCTGCCCCTCCATGGAATGATACCTTCATCGAGCGATAATTCTTTCTCGGGTTTATAAATTTTTTGAAACTTTTCTACCAAGGTACGAGTAAACTGGTTTTATTTTATCAAGCCTTTCTTGGCAATGCTCACTATTATCTGAAGTGCCAATACTTCTTTCTTGGCGATGCTCATTATTATTGGTCTTGAAGTGCCAATACTTCCATAACTGCCCGAAATCGGTTCTTTGGCATAGTATTCCCAAAAATAGGTGTATGTAATCCAGAGAGCAATTATCCTCTTCTAATAACAGATCAGCATATATTTCCTAATCGAAGAGCATTTTGAAGGATATCTTTAAATCTAATGTAAGTTTCCGATATTTGAAGGCAGCGAAAGACAGTCTCAAACTAACAAAACAAGCGTCCGCGAAAAAAGATTTCAATAATAGATAGTCTGGTGAATGGCAGAGGAGAGATTATTCAAAATGATGAGAATGCTGATTTGAAAGGGGGAAGAATGTTATTGTTCTGAGATCCCGATTATGGTGAATAAGGCATGTAGATCCGTTCAAGAGAAAGAATATAAACAAAATAATGTTTGCAAAAAGCAACTGAGTGGTCTTTTGTGTGGGAACAGCACCAGTCTATCTACAATTACAAGGCCATCCAAACTATGTACAATGACAAAGTTATTCAAACTATGAACAATGACCATCATAAGAAATATTTTACTTTTAGGGCACCTAAATGCCGCATGAATAGAAACGCCACACCCGCTGAAAATTTAAGTTTTAAACACGTAAATGCCGCAGCGTTTCTTCCGGAAATTATGGTATCTCGCATAACTCAAAAACGAGTAGCCTCAGAACATTGAAATTGTATGTATAGGACTGCTATAATATGAAGATGTGCACCTCATATTTTGGTTGCAATCGGCGTCACCAAACATATATGAATATATATATATATCTGCTCTGTTACCCGGCTCAGTGATCTGTTTCGTTGCTCTTATATGTTTGTAAATTGTGCATTTTTTGCTTTAGAAATGATTGAATTATGTTCTCATATGTTATTCTTATCTTCTGGTTAAGGTTTTTATGCCTTTAGTAAATCTGCATGCAATATTTCTAGAATTATCAACAATTTAAAAGTTGTTTTAAGTGTGGCTAAGCCTAATTAGTTTTACCATAGCGGCCCTATTTGTTTACATTTGAAACTTAGCAGAATAGTGGAT